GGACATTTCCTGATGAAGTAGATGAACCCCCACGTGAAAGCAGGAAGCCAACGAGATGGAGACCAGTACGGAAGAAGATACGTCCCGTAAAATTATAAGACTTTGTTGAATTGTAATTTTGTGATTGTAATTCTGTACAGTTAATTAAGTTATTGTTAATTGTTATTGGTTTATTGTATGTGGTTATTGTTCGGGACGAATAATATTAAGGAGGGTGCAGTGTTGCGTCATCGAGATCATGTGATTCTCACGCTCTCTCCTTTCTTGAATTATCCTGTACTTTGGCGAATGTTCTAGTTCTTACTAGATATAGGGTAGGCGGATATATATAAGAGGGGAATGTAACGTATCTGGGTAGATAGTGAGTAATTGAACTGCAGTCACACGTTAACGTTCGTTCGTTACAGTGTTGTTTTAGCGCGAGTATTGAGATTAAGTGTATCGCAGAGTTATATTCGGAAAGAATAAACCAGTTTTATTAAGTAAAGACTTGTGTCGTTAAAGTTTCGTTGGAACGAAGTTACGGAAAAATCAATTAACAAACGGAGACGTAACAAACCTTTAGATTTCACTTTTGACAATTAAGCTCACCTCGACTGTTGCGAGACCCAACGGGCTGAGTGGGACCGAATAAACAGTGCTAGTTTGTGATAAACTTTTGCTGAGGAATTTTCTAGGCGGAATTAAGGTAAAATTTTTAATTTTTAAAGTTTTAATAACATTTACGTAAGCTCCATATGGGTTATTTGTTAGATGTTTATACGTCTCCATGTCATGCTAGTACTGTTGCTAAATTTAAGATCAAATTGATATGGGAATCACTTATATTAGATCCAAGTGAATATTGTTTTCTATCAATTCAATATCCGCTTTTCGGGTGATATGTTACATTTTTTGAAAAAACAACAAAACAAATTATTACCTTGTGGGCCAAATTTCCCAAATATTGAAAAAAAGTTTAAATCTAATTTATTTTTCAAATACGGACTTAGTAGGAGTCACTCTGCAGAATTTAATTGTAATGTTGTCTCCGTTCGTTAGTTGATTTTCCGTAACTTCGTTCCGACGAAACTTTAGCGACACAAGTCCTTTCTTAATAAAACTGGTTTATTCTTTCCGAATACAACTTTACGATACACTTAATTTCAACAGTCGCGCTATAACAAACGCTATATCTCACGTGGACAACAATATTTTGTCGGCATACATTCAATTACTCATTACACTGTTGTTCCGTCACGTTGTGACCATCTTATATATACCAGCCCACCCCCAATCTAGCAAATGCTAGGGCACTCCCGAAGGAACAGGTTTTTCTAGAAAGCGGGTGGCGTGATACTAGTCACGTGACCTCGCTGACGCAACAGTAAGTTCTCTGTGGATGTAAAGATCACGCAGACGTATTAGTCATAGCCCATGTAAATTAGAAATGAAGTCAAATGGTTTATAACTTGAGATGATTAATTAGGGGTGGACAATGTCGAAGTGCTGATGGAGAAAGAATCGCGCGCTCGTTTATAGTTTTATGGCCGTAATTTTGACTTGCTTAAACTCTGCAGCTGCAGACTGCATGTGACATTGTGAGAGGTTTCGCTGGACGTTAAAGTTTTAGAATGGCCAGTAGTTGTAAAGAAAAAGTCAGATGAAGAGATCTAAGTTATAATACTAATAGTACCTGACCCTCCCAGGTGCCATACAACACGACCGAATACTAACAAAGACAAGAGAAAGGAAAAGGTAATATCTTACTTTGTTTTCATAGTTATTTCAAAAGTGTATTGGATTTTGTATTCAACCTGTGAGTGTCATCCATTCTGTACATGATATTGTTACGTCTCCGTTTGTTAATTGATTTTCCGTAACTTCGTTCCAACTGAAATTTTAACGACACAAGTCTTTACTTAATAAAACTGGTTTATTCTTTCCGAATATAACTCTGCGATACACTTAATCTCAATACCCGCGCTAAAACAACACTGTAACGAACGAACGTTAACTTCAACAATACCGTGTGACTGCAGTTCAATTACTCACTATCTATATACACACAGTACATTATCCTCTTTTATATACCAGCGTACCCTATTTCTAGTAAGAACTTGAACATTCGCCGAAGTACATGATAGTTCTAGAAATGTTGCGTCACGGTGGTCATGTGACTCGCTGACGCAACAATATATACACACATTTTACTTATTGATTTAAAGGTTTGTGATTTCTTTCATTTTAACTTGGCATTTAAAATTTTCATCATCATTGTTAAGCGATATATTTCTTATTGTGTCATTCTGTATTTTATTATTAGTTGGAGAGATTTCATCTTATTTTAAAATTTCATCGATAAGGGGTTTTATTTTCCTTGACTTCAAAAGTCACTTGTTTCATCCTTTTATATTTTTATTATAGGGTTTTTAATTACTTAGCAATTTATTATTTACAGTTAAACTCTAAGTTTAAGAGTTTTTTTACAATTACATATGCGTAGTATGTTTCTTTCCCCTTCTAAAGGGGTAGGTGACCATTTTTAATATTTTTTTTTATTCACTTGCTTAGGCCGAAGAATTTTTTTGTTTTAAGCTCTACTTCTAGTGTGTGCTTACAAGTTACATATTGCATTTCGACATTTAAGGCTGGCTCCCTAAAAATAAAGACACTGATTGGATAGTGTACAAAGCACTTGTGTTACAGTCATCTAATGTTCATCTATTATTGGCTAGTAATTCTTGTTTCACCTTGTACTTAAGCTTTTTAAAGGAGAACTAGAATTCTAAGAAAGCTAATAGTTAACACTAGAATTATGTTTTTTTTTTAAATTATGTACCACTAGTTATTCAGGTTAAATGATGACATTGTACAGTGCCCAGAAACACACAGAGTGGACTTAGATTTAAACTAACGTTATTGATAAAGTAGTTGTAGAGTTATCTCAGCTGAAACAAGAAGAAAGATGAACAATTTGGTGGGTTAGTCACTTCTGTTTTGGTATCTTAGCCTTGGTTTCTTGCCTTATTTTTGGGTTTGTTGGGTAGAGAAACAAATGAAAGTGAGTGGAAATCATTTTTAATAAAGTAAAACTCTATAATTGTTGATGTATTTAGTGTGCATGTTTGTATTATGCCTAATGAGTACCTTGGCAATCTGACTCTATGATAGTAAAAATCACTAGAAGAGTAACATGAAGCAGACATTTCTTTTACAAGCATTGAGTGACAAACTTGAAATTCTCAAGAATTATTCCAAATTTCTTCATCTACTTCTTACAATTTTCTCTTAAAAAGGTTTTCTAAAGATTTTTTCCCAAATTCAACTGAAAGCTTGGTCATTCTTCCAATTTCTTTCTTTCTTTATTTTTTCATGTACGTATTTTATCTGCTCCTAATTATTCATGTTTTAAAAATGCATTTGGTTTGGGTATATTTTAATTCTTAGAATTCTCCAAGTTCACAAGACATTTATGCAAAGTTGTTTTTTTTAACTCTGTACCAAGTAAACTTCTTTACAGTTACATCAAAAGTAAGATACTCAAGCAGTAATTTGAACATATTATGAAACTGATAATAGTAATTGTTCTGTTGTAGATTTAAGTGCTTTCTTTTCAACTTAATTCTTCTAAATACCTTTTCTTCCAGCATTTTGGCCACTGTGCCTGAGGATGAAATTCTGTCCAATGTGTATGAAAGTTTAGAGAAACATATTTTTGCCATGGCTCATGTTTTGCAGCAAACAGCCATTGTTATATCTGATACAATGTTAAAATATTCAACAGGAGAACATTTTGCTTCAATTCCTTTTGGTAGAAATTATCTTCCATTGGCACTCTCAAAATGTCAAGTCATCACTTTGCTTCACATATGATGTTGTCCAATTTTCTGCTTTGGTTGTTATGGAAATGGAACTTCCACTGATAAAACAGTGGACACACAGGTAGGCTTGGAGTTTTTACTTATAATAATAATAATAAAGATTTACCAGTATTTTTTTTGTGTGCATTGTATTTCAATTTCAGCTGCATGTATTGGGAAATCTTGAAAGGTACTTTACCTGTTGGAATACCAAAGTTTTGTGATAATATTTAATACAAAAACTTAAGGTTTCAATACAGTAACAATGCCAAATTTAACACTTGTCAGAATACCAAAATTTTGTGATAATATTTAATACAAAAATTTAAGGTTTCAATACAGTAACAATGCCAAATTTAACACTTGTCAGAATACCAAAATTTTGTGATAATATTTAATACAAAAACTTAAGGTTTCAATACAGTAACAATTCCAAATTTAACACTTGTCAGAATACCAAAATTTTGTGATAATATTTAATACAAAAACTTAAGGTTTCAATACAGTAAAAATGCCAAATTTAACATTTGTCAGAATACCAAAATTTTGTGATAATATTAAATACAAAAACTTATGGTTTCAATACAGTAACAATGCCAAATTTAACATTTGTCAGAATACCAAAATTTTGTGATGATATTAAATACAAAAACTTAAGGTTTCAATACAGTAACAATGCCAAATTTAACACTTGTCAGAATACCAAAATTTTGTGATAATATTAAATACAAAAACTTAAGGTTTCAATACAGTAACAATGCCAAACTTAACACTTGTCAGAATACCAAAATTACTTTTTATTCTTTTGTTGTTCATAACTTGCATACTAAATTTCGTGAAGTTTATTTTTGCATATTAGTATTTTTAATTATTTCAAGCATTTTTCCTTGCAAGATATAGTAATTATTATATCAGTGTTTTTTTTTCATTCTCTACAGCAGCTATTCCATTGACTGATTCTTACTACAAACTACTTCCACTCCAGTTTTTGTTGAATAGGAGTTAAATTGTATTGTGATGAAAACGACCACTGGATCATATCAAAACTCATGCTAACAGACAAGTAGGCTTGCTGTAAAAATGCTTTGACATTGTAGAAATTTCTATTTCACTTCTTCAGGTAAAAAAAGGTGTTTCAGTAATGACAAATGGATTTTCTGATGATAAAAATAAATCACCTTATGTTAGTTCCAATTTTGATGAAACAATATCTGATTCAGGAAATAGTTTACAGCATAAGAAAAAAGCTTTTAAACAGTTCTACACTGTTAATAAACTGTTTGGCATAATTGGAAAAATCACGAGTAAGAAGTTAAAAAACATACAAAGTAGCTGGTAATATTACTAAAAACTGTAATTTTTTTAAAGGGTGTTGCTGAATTACCTGTGATTGTTTCACTGAAAGAAAAAGAACCTTTATGTATCATCTTCTGTAGAATGGGAGAGTTAGTTAAGAGCTGGATGGCCTTTTGCTTGAAGGAAACTTTAATGCAGACTTCAAGGTCTGAAGATCATGTAGTAATGATAGAGAAATTGTTATATGAATTATTATGACATCAGATCTGAATATATGAACAAACAGACGAGTGTCTGGGTTAATGTAATGGATGGCCAGTTCTGTTTCATACTTCTAAATGTTCACATACTAGTGTTGAAGTGGCATTTTGTTTTGCCACTACACATGTACTTATACAGACCCTTGAATATAGAAGTGTTGGTATTTGAACTTTATATTGAAATAAGTGTTTAATGGCTAGCTCTATATATTTATCTAAGCTGCATTTGAGAGTAAAAGGGTTTTATTAAGTAGATCATTTGTTTTTTAACTAGTAAGGCTTATGAGCCCATAAAAGGAAGGCATATAAGGTAGACCAATAGTCAAAGATAGAAAGATAATGCTTAAGACCAATAGCTATATTAAGACAAAAGTAATTAGAATATTTTCAACAGTAAATTCAGTCCATTTTACAGTCTTTAATTGTAAAACTTCCATTTTAAAAAAAAGCCTAAAACATAAACATTTTGAACAGAGGTAAGCCGTTGGGAAACAAGTTATACTGTATTTTACAGCATATAAGATGCATCTGTACTTTAGTAAAGAATATTTAGGAAAAAAAAAACATTTGAGCCAGTTAAGAGGCAAAAATTAAAGCAGGGAGCTCATTATAAAACTGGAAATCATAATTAATTACCAAAAAGGTTATAAAAGGTGTTATAACAGCATAGACTATACAGTAGCATCTGCTGTACATCAGTTATGTTCCTAAGTAATTGTTGCTAAGCAACAGTTTTTTCTGTCCTTGAATGGGATTTTTATAACCAGTAGAAAGAGCAGAATTGACAATTAGTCTCTTTAGGGTAAGGACACATAAGTAATAGATCATTTTTCAAATGACAAACATACTTCCAGGGTGTTTGTTGTGGATATCGGTGTCATCAGTGAGTAAACTGTACTGGCCTGATGTGGCAGTAACGAAAAAGACCAGGGTGTCTTTTGCATGTGAGCAATATGTAGTATACAGTAGTTTTCATGAGAATTCAGAAACACTTACTGCTTTGCACGGAAGAACCTGGTTAACTGCTCAGCTGGACAGACTCTAACTATCTTGGATTATTATTATTTATTGTAAATCCACTTGTATATTTAGCAAATTTTTTTTCATTAATTATAAGCCTAATCACATATTTATGTATAAAGTATTTGTTATATTTTAATCTACAGTTGTCTGGGGAAATACTAGGTAGAATTTAGCTTATGGGGAAAACTGAGAGATGCATTTTCTCTACCTTCACATATTAGATGCAGAATGATTTTTAGAGGCTTTTTTTCAGGAAAAAGTGGCTTACATGTCATATTAAGAAGTAGTACATGTTATGCTAAGATACAGAAACAGCTGCACTAAATTTTGATGAACAATTATATTCTAAAACTATTGAACAGAGATTTAATTTATATTGTAAATAATATTTACTTACTTGTAGGTAGTAGGAGGTGCACACAGATGAACTAAAATAAGATGAAAAGTTAGCTAACACAAAATGGACTTTTGTTATATTACTAGAAGCTGGGAAATTGTTTACTTATAAGCACATACATTAATGACTTTGTTTACTTTTGCAAACCCCTGGATGTTTGAAAGCTAACACCCATACATCTTTTAAATATTTACACACATTCAAAGTGCATTTCTATTCATCTGAGCAATTTTCATTGCAAGCACAGTTATGTAAACAAGCAGGTAAATTCTATGTTATGTTCTTGAAGCAGGGGATAACTGGTGTTAGAAACATATGTTTGTTTACTCATGGAAGTATCTCGCTATGGTATACCGAAACAGCAATGGCACATGCAGTGAATCATTTCCTTACGTTTGGAGAGTTTCAATGGTGTGTGTCACTAAAAGTAAATTAGAAGAAACAGATGTGTGAAAAGGTTAGAGGTAGAGCTGTGAACATAAGTACTTTCGAACTTCACGATCAATACTAACAGAACTGTACATTTAATTTTGCATATTACAACATTTATTTTTATTATAGCTAGATTACTTGGAAAATCAAGTATACTGTTATGGTAGGGTAAATAACAGATAAAATATAAAGATTTACTGGAAGAAAATTTTTTTGTATATATTTAAGAGGTTTCAGGGATTACACAAATGAAATTTAAAAGTATATTTAATCATAAACTAAAATCACTAAATGAGATAGTGAATATTTAGAGTGCAAAAAGTCACAAACGGAATAAAATACTTATTTACAAAATATGACTTTTTATATACAAAAGCTGTATAATAATGTTTCTGATAGTCTGCAAAGTTTTGTGAAGATATGCAAACATTATAACTAGTGTCATGGCTACTTTGTTGGTTATGTGATTTGCTGTTTGGGTACATCCTCTAAACATATGGTTAATTGCATATCTTTCCGACAGAAAAGTATGATCTTCTAGTAATATCTTGAATCAGCACAGATACCCACGAAGATGCCCATCCATATGAGGTATTTGTGGAGATCTGTTGCTCCATCTTCTAATCATGCTTCTTTTTATTTCTTATATTTTGATTCTGTAACTGACAGGCCCCTTCATTTAGCATGGACATAGCTATCTAAAGGGCTGGGAGGGCTTGAAGCCCAATTTTTTCTTATATTTTAAGAAAATAATCTGATTAGGCTGAACCTGGACCCATGTCAGACCTCAATATGCCTATTATGAATATCTTTTATTTTAACACATAGTAACTAGTAATGACAACGAGTCAAGAAAAAATGGAAACTAAATATAACTAATGTTAAGTTATTTAACAAAATTAGCAGTTTGATGTTATCAGGGCTGGATTAAACAGTTGCTGAGCCCCAAGCACAGGCTGCACAGCACACCTTTTGGGCCCCCATGACCCATGCATCACATTTTTCAAAGATAATCTCAAACAAATCTATGATTATATTAGAATATATTAATTTTTTTAAACAGTAAGCTTAATGTGTAATAGCTGGCATGTAAAATGAAAGAGTAATCTACTTAAACTAATAAAAAAAACATTTTCCTTTTTATTAAAAATAACTACATTAATAACAACATTATTACTATAAATATCTGCAAGTTTTAAAATCTTGTTTTATGAGCTCTCATTGTAGCCAGTGTATTAATTATTTCATTTGTGTATAAGTTATCAAATATTGGATTCAATGCTTAGAATTGTGAGGTTTGACAGCCTGTCTTGCAGACATGGGGTCAGTTACAGGTGTGTGATTATGAGTACAAATACAACATGATTGCAAGATGTGTTTACGACTGCACAGGAGCATTGGAAGGAAAATGTATGTGTTGCGGGTACTGCTGGTGTAATAACGACATGTAGGGCAGGGATCTGAGGGCAGAGCCCCAGTGTGGACCCAGGGAGCAAAGCCTCTCCTGGGTTTTCAGTGGTTAATGAGTGTAAAGAATTGATCTCCAGTCAGTATATAACTAATTTACATAACCCTTTATTTACCCAATGTAGTAACTATTTCTGTGTGAATGATATATTACAAAATAATATATAAATAAAACTGTCACATGACATTGGCATGGACCAATTCCCATTTATTATGAATTAAAGGATGATATAGAGGGAAATGACTTACCCCCACTTTCGATCAAGGGGGGGGGGTTCTAATCTCTTGGATCAGAAAACAAAGTTTAAATCTCAGTTTTTATTCTCAAAATTTTCAAAGTCAACCGTTACACCGAATAAACATCAGTTGTTCAAATTGATAGTCTGTCAAGTTGCATCGTTTTGGTTTGAATACTACCTGTGATCAAGAAATATCATTCAACAGGGGTGTTAGAGGCTGGAATAGGAAGGCTTAAGCAGGCAGCTCGTGCCAAAACTTCATTATTGTGGTGAGCTGCTTGCTCTTTCCAAAATGCTAATGGATTGGCTTCTTCAAGAAACACTGGCTACTGAAATATTCTGAAACTTTGGTTTCAATGACTGGCCTTAGACTTGGTCGTGTGCTTGTTGGCTGTTGAGGTACATCCTTAATGAACTGGATGAACATGGATCATTTACAGGGTAGTGATGAAGTGCTGTCACTATCAGAGTTGGAAGTCTGTGAAATTTTGGGAGTATGTCAATGTTCACAGCAATTACTTTGGCTAGCACAGCTGTTCTCACTTCCTGTGCCTCTTCAGGGGTGCACAGGCCAATTTTCATCTGGGATCGAGAGTGGCAACAACTTTGAATATTAGTATGTCAAATATAGATAGTTGCCAATCTACAGATATTTTGAGAGTTTGCACCATCATACTGCTGTACTTTGAGGACAACTCGAGCATCTCAGTTTGAAACTCTCAGATAATGGAATAGAATGCTAGATGTAACTTTTTCTCAAGTTATGTCTGTGGCCCATTCAAATGGAGTCAGAATTTCAACAAGTTCCTTAGTAACAAACTTTTTTGGCGACACAGCATCATGGTCTATACCCCGGAGAATGTCTTTTTCCACTGACATCAGAATAAATACCTCCAAATGATCAGAATTCAAAGTACTCTTTAACCTGTTCTTAATGAATTTCAGACTTAAAACTTCTTTCACAAGCCACCTGAGTAGTAGAGAATGTTAATAAGTATTTATTAGCTAGTCTGATGTTTTTATATGCCTCGCTGAATAGCTTGTGTTTTTCCAATGTAAAATAACCACAAACTGCACAGTTGCGGCATCATTTACACATAGAAATCTAGTAATCATATTCTAATTCACCTTTTTCCTTCACTCTAAGCTCTGTCTTACTAGCAATTTCATGACAATTCATATACAAGGTGTACTCCTCAGGTAGTGTATGTTTCAGCCTATCCCAATTATTTGCCAAACTTATAAATTCAGTTTGCAATTGCTCCCAAGTTAATTCCTCATCAATTTTCAAAAGTACTTCAATTAGCTTTGGAAGTGCAGCCTGAGGCAAGAATGTCTTTATTTCTCTGAACTGTGCAAGAGACAAACAAGACAGGTCCCTATATAAAGTCCCATTCTGCTCAACTCTAACTTTAAGCTTTCAGTAGTAGTGTCTAATATTCTATTATGTACACAAACCTCAAATTTGTTATAGACATCAAATGTTGTTTCTTCTCCCTTCTCCAGGTAGCCTGCTACTGTTCTGTAGTCTTCTTTCTGGAAAAAACTCTTGAATGACAATACTATTTAGTGGGCTTCATTTTTCAAGTTCATCTCTTGCCCAGTTAGTGAA